GCACAGCCCAGCTCAGCATTCCAGAACGGCGGGGCCAGGCCAGGCGCCTGCCTCTCTCCACAGCATGGCCAAGATGGGGCCTGGAGAAGGCTGCCAACGGCAGAGGAGACCCTGGGCGCTGGGGATGGACACCAGGTGGGTGCATTGGGAGTGGGGAATGGATGGGCTGTCTGCATCCATGGGTTGACCAGGGTGGTTCATCCACTTGCAGGTCCCCCTTGACAGGCAGTGGCAAAGGCCCTGGTTCCAGCCACGTGAGCCCCTCAATTTTCAGTTATAGCAGCCCCCACCCCCATCCTCTGTGACTGTGATACTCTACAATCTGCACATGCACAGCCTTGCCACATGTGGTCTCAACGAGACCAAGCTGTCCCAAGGGATTTGCCTTCCTTCTCCCTGTAGCACTCCACTGGTCAGCCCCACGGTCACTGAGGTGGCTGGAGGTCACACTCAGCCGGGTTAGGGGTCAGCAGTCCTGGCCGGGTGGGCAGGTCCTCAGCTGGGATAGAGAGGTGCTGGAGGAGCCCCTTCTCCCCAAGGCCAGGCTGGGTTATTCCCAGACATCCTTGCTTTGAGCATCTTTGCGGAAGCCCAGCTCCACGCCAGACAACAGTTGAAACTTGGCTTTAGAAAATGAACTTCAACAGCACCGGTTCCGTACCCTGGGATACGTGTAGGCGAAGCGCAGCGACTCAGACCCTGCACACCCCTCCTTGTGTCCTTGAGCGAGTCCCTCGCCTCCCTGAGCCTTGCTCTCCTTCTTGGTCATGCTCACTATAGAAAAGGCTGCCTCAGTGCTTATGAGAACACCCCAAACAGCCCTGACTCACAGTGGGCGTGTGGTGTGAGAGAGGTGGAGCTGGCATTAGACTGAGATTGAGCCAGGGCAGGGCAGGGAGACGCAGCTCCTGGTGGGCCACACAGGAGGGCTTAAGGAGGAACCGAGCCCCAGGAGACGAGGCTGGGGAGGATCAGAGACAGGTCTGTAAGAGGCTGTCAGCTGTCTGGGTATATGGGAAGAACAATAAACCATTTTCCCTTGGAGGAGATAATGGTCATTTCTGAAGAATTTAGAGCCCATGAATAGTGAGGGCAGGAAGTAGGAAGCCTAATTTATCTTTGTGCCATGATCTTCATTTTTTGTTTTGTTTTTTTTGTTGTTGTTTTGTTATTTGAGTCGAGGTCTCACTCTGTTGCTTAGAGTGGAGTCCTGTGGCATGAATACAGCTCACCAAAGCCTCAACCTTCTGGGCTCAGGCCATCCTTCCACCTCAGCCCCCCAAGTAACTGGGACTACAGGTGTGCGTCACCGTGCCTGGCTAATTATTTTTTATTTTTGTAGAGACAAGGCTGGTCTTGAACCCCTGGGGTCAAACAATCCTCCCAAAGTGCTGGGATGACAGGCGTGAGCCACTGCACCCAGCCTGCTCTTTGCTTTTGCTGCAGGGAAGCCCAGACACCCTCAGATGGGAGTTTGTGGGAATTACCACTGTGACCTCCAGTTGCTATTTTATGCTGCTGTTATGCAGCTCTTTTATGAGTCTTGTTTTATATGACATGAGGCATGTGAAAGCAAAGCACCCATCTGTGTTAAAACTCACTGACAGAGAGGTGATCGTGGGGGCTGTGGAGAGTTGACAGGAAGTGATGGCACCGTCATGAAAAAGCAGGGCTGAGGGAGGGCAGAGGCAAACAGCTTGTGCAGCTTCTGGGCCACTGGACGGGACCCCAGACCAGTAAGAACCCATAAAACTAGGAAGCACCCATTACCTCTTGCTGCACACAGCACAGCCCTGGCCTCTGCACCCTCAGCCCAAGGCAGGCAGGCAAGGGGACCATGACATGTGTGGAGGTGGCCTGGCAGTGTGAAGAAGTGTGGTCCTGGGGCCAGACAGACCTGGGATCCCATCCCACCCACCCTGTGTTAATCTGGGCAGCCCCTTCTCCCTGGTCTTCTGTCTCAGGGGGATGCAGGAGAACAGAAGGGGCCGGTAAGGGGCTTCCCTGAAGTGCCGCCCAGGGAGATGAAGATGCTTTTCCTCACGTGTGCTCTGCATCTGCCACAAGGTGAGGGCCAGTGGTGCAGCTTGGTCAGCAAACAGGTGGCAGGAACCAAGACTAACTTGAGTGAGCACTGGGCTGAGTTTGGACTGTGGCAAGCAAAGGCCACGTGGGGACATGGGTCTCATGGGAGCAGCAGCCAGGGGAGGGGATAGTTGGTCCTTGTTGCATGCTCTAGGAACCTCAGTTCCACTGTCTTGGAATGAAGTGGGGAGTCTCTGTCCACCCATCTCACAGGGTTCCTGGAAGGGTCTGGAACATTTCTGAGGCAACCAGAGGGATAATCTGCCCCCAGCTGGTGCAGAACCAGCAAAAGAGGTGTTCTCTAGTCTGGCTGCTGGGGTGGACTTTTGCTGTGTCTGTTTCAGGGTCTCCAGTCTGAGGCAAGCAGTGAGGGAGGGACAGGGAGGCCACTTCAGGATCCAGGCGGTGAAGTACTTGGCTGCTAGACATAAGCAGGGTTTCCCAGGGCCCATCAGGCACCCTGGAGTCTCCGAATTGCGTGGTAGACAGAGACCTTGGCTCCACACCCAAGGGCAAGTCTTACAGATCCATAATTTGCAAACTCAGAATAGCCCAGGCCTCTAGTCACCCTGGACACAGCTTCACTCTCCTTCAGGACCCTGTTAAGCACATAAGGAGATTTCTTTCCTTCCGGGAGAAAGTAACCCCTCCCTCCGCTCCACACCCTGTCCAGCCTGGGCCAAGACACTTGTCAGTATAAATCCCTGCTAGGTGTGGCCAGGAAGGGATTGGCACCCAGACCTTTCTGAGGAGGATGGGGGAGGCCCCTGAACCTGAGGCTGACGTGAATGTGCCTCCTCCCTGGAGCCTGCTGCCCTTGATAGGGAGTCTTAGTTTCCCTATCTGCCAAATGGGGATGATCCCACTCCTCCCTTGAGGATTTTGTTGGGTGAGCTGAGACAGGGCAGCCTGTAAGTGAAGGGTCTGTCAGAAAACCACTCTGTGTCACAGAGAGGACACAGGCTCAGAGAGGCCAGAGCCAGGTTTTCCGACTCCTGATACCATGCCCTTTTCCACTGCACTTTGCTGGTTTCCTGGGGCAGGTCATACCACATCTCCAGGTTCATTTCTACATCTTCAGAAGCAGGAGGGGTGCCCTTTCCCTGCCCAGTCTGCATGGGTGCTGGAGGGAGACAGTGGAGGGAAGTCATCTGTAGGAGGGCTTGTTCAAGGAGTGTGTGTTGGAAAGCTGAGGCAGAGGATCGCTTGAGGAATTCAAGACCAGCCTGGACAACATAGCAAGACTCCATCTCTACAAAAAAAAATTTTTTTCATTAGCCAGGCATGGTGTTATGCCCCTGTAGTCCCAGCTACTCAGGAGACTGAGGCAGGAGGATTGCTTGAGCCCAGGAGTTCGAGGTTGTAGTCTGGATGAAAAGGAAAAAAGAGTTACATCCCTGGGACACTCTGGAGTTCCAGACTGGGGCCCTTTCCACCAAGCCAGACCAGCCATGCAGGCTCAGACTCTCCCTGTGGAGTGAGCTAGCCAGCTGAGCCCAGGCAAGGTGCCCTGATACAGAGCCATGTGGAGCCCCGACCCCTGGAGGTGCTACTCTGTCCATGCTCTCCTGAGGAGGCCACAGAGTACAGCCCCTGCTCCCTCACACTGCTGTCGGTCCCAGCCTCCTGCTAGAAGTCCACTCACTAGCAAATGTTCTGGCGCACTGCTGAACATGCGAAGTGGGTTATGGTGAAGAGAGACAGGCACAGATGCTAGAGAAACTAACCAAACTGGCAAGTGCCTGAGCGGACCTGACTGAGATAGGGCCCAGGGTGCAAACAGGAGAGGTCTAAGGAGCAGCAGGAGTTGGCACTGGTGCCTGTGTGGCCGTGGGTGGTGGCCCAAGAGCCTGTCTGTTGAGTGCTCCTTCCTCAGTGCTCCTCACTTCCTTCCGACAGCCCTTTGAGATAGTGCTGCCTTGTCCCTGCATCACAGATGCAGCCTGTGTGTCTGTCTCCCTCGGGGTGGAGCAGCATGCGATGTGTATGGAGCCCAGCAGGTGCTTTCGTTTGGCTGGTACAACAGGGATGGGAAGGACGTTCTGGGCAGTGGCAGCCAGGAACTGCTGACAGAGGCATGGGCAGAGGAAATGAGCCCCTTCCTATTGGGTTAAATATGGCATCCAGAAAGGGTAAATCCAGAGGTCCCTGGATTGGACCTCACTGCCTTCCAAGGACAGCTGAGACCTGGGCTTTCCTCTCCACAGTCATGATAGGGGCAGAATGACTGATCACTGCTTTATAAGAGCATGGTGGAATCATCTGTGGTCTTGGAAAACTGAAAAGAAACTGCATGTCATAGTGGGCCACAGGCTTGAAGGGGGAACCTGAAAAGCAGAGTTATATGATACAGACTATGAGGTAACTTGGTGGAAAGCTCCAGTCCCAGTTCTGCCAGACAAGATCTGTTACCTCTCCTGGGCTGGGCAGGGTAACAGAATGTGGCTTTCCTTCCTTCCTTGCCAAAGCCAGGGACTGGCTTGAGCCATCAGAACTTTGGGTCTCGGTATAGACAGGCGTCAGTGACAAACCTGAGGCCCAGGATGAAGTGGGTATGTGCCAGCAGAGAACTCAGGCCTCAGAGCAACAATTCAGCATCCTCCAGCTCCCGGGAGCTTCAGCCAGAGAGGCAGCATGTGTAGACCAGTGACACCTCTGGTCTGGTGCCCCCCAAGCAGCATCCTAACAGTGGGAAGCCGACCAGTATGGGTGCCGGTCCCTCAGCCGGCTCTGAGAAGACCAAGGTTCCTACATCCTCACGGAGGCCAGTGAACACCCTGGCAGAGGAAGGGGAGGCTAGACAGACCCAGGACCTCCTCACTGCCCTGAAGCTGGGTAGGTGGTATGTGGAGGGCGGGCGTAGACAGGTCCCTGCTGGAGACCAGGGTCTCACAGGGCCACTCCTCTCTCCGCAGGCCTGCAGGGATTTCCTGGAACTAGCAGAGATCCACAGCCGGAAATGGCAGCGGGCGCTGCAGTATGAGCAAGAGCAGCGCGTCCACCTGGAGGAGACCATTGAGCAGTTAGCCAAGCAGCACAACAGCCTCGAGCGGGCCTTCCGCAGCGCCCCTGGCCGGCCCGTCAACCCCACCAAGAGCTTCAGCGAGGGTGCGTGGGCTAGGGCTGGTCAGCCATATCGGCCCATCGCTCGGCCCTCAGCCCCCCTCTCTGCCAGCTGGCTCTGCTTCCACAGCTACGCCTCCCCATACACATACCCCTGACATACCCACATGCGGGCTCGTCTTGGCCAGCTCTGGCCTGCCTCTGTGTGACTTTGTACACCCCCTGTCCATCACCGACTGGTAACGGCATCTCTGTACTAGGTTCAGCTTCTCAATAAAAAGTGTAATGAGCCCAGCTGTCCCCTTTACGGCAGGGGTGTCCGGGTGCCAGGTGGCTACCCACCTAACCTGGGGCAGGAGGTCCATCAGAAAGAAAAGGTGGGCCACAGACAGACTGACCCACAAGTCGAGAGGTCCAGGGAGGCTTCCAGGAGGAGGCCTCTGAGCAAGGAATGCATGACTGGAGAACGTATTATTCCAGCAGGGGGAGCAGGGGCAACTGCAGCCCAGGGTGACCAAGCCCAGGTAACTAGAGAGGGAGGGAGGCAGGATGAGCCTTTTTTGGAGTTGCAAACTGAGGCAGTGGCTCTGCATGTGTCTCCAGGAAGCCTCTTAACTTCCAAAGGAGAGGACAGTGAGGAAGATGAAGATACCGAGTACTTCGATGCCATGGAAGACTCCGCATCCTTCATCACCGTGATCACCGAGTCCAAGGAGGACAGGTGGGCTCTCCCGAGCAGGGGCGGCCATTGCCTGGAGGAGCTTCCCCAGGGTCAGCCCTTCCTGCCTGACCCTTGGGCTCCGTCGGGGCTTCTTTTACCAGCTGTATATGTGGGGGTTTCTTTCTCTTAAATCTTGCTCCTGAGGGGATTTTTGCATAGATTCTGTTCTTTTTTTTTTTTTTTTTTTTGAGTTGGAGTCTCACTCTGTCGCCCAGATTGGAGTGCAGTGGCTGCTCCCGGCCACCACAGCCTCGACCTACTGGGCTCCGGCGATCCTTCCGCCTCAGCCTTCCAAGTAGCTGGAACTACAGGCGCATGCTACCACGCCCGGCTAATTTTTTATTTATTGTAGAGATGAGGTCTGGCCAAGTTGCCCAGGCAGATCATGAACCCGCGGGTTCAGGCAATTCACTCACCTCAGCCTCCCAAAACGCTGGGATTACAGGCTGAGACACCAAGCCTGGCTAGATTCTGTTCTTAAATCAAAATATCCTACGTTAAGTTTATACCAGGATGTTAATTTTAAATGGAGCTGGGGAACAGGACATAGGCTGGGTCCAGTTCCAGCTTGGGGGTGGGTGGGGGCGGGGTCTCAAGGGCTGGGGTCAGAAGACCCTGGCTCACTCATTCTGGCCTCAGAGCTGCGCAGGGTCCCAACTGCTCCCTCCAGCATGTCAGCATTCGAGAACAGATGAGCGATGCAGGAAGTCTCTTATTTTCTATTTCCAAGCCTTTGTGTCATTTTTCATAAAAGCCTGCTCTTTCAGGATGTTTCTAAATACAGTGATGTGTCACTTAACTACAGGGACAGTCCTGAGAAATGTGTCATTAGGCAATTTCGTCATTGTGTATACATCACAGAGCGTCCTTACATACACCTAGATGGCACAGCCTACTGCACACTTAGGCCACGTGGTACAGACCATTGCTCCCAGGATACAAACCTGTACTTCATGTGACTGCACTGAATACTGCAGGCAGCTGTAACGCATGGTAAGGATTTGTGTCTCTAAACACATCTACATATAAAAAAGATACAGGAAAAATAAGGTATGATAATCTGGGACCACTGTTGTACATGGGATCCATCGTGGAGCAAAACATTGTTATGTGGCGTATGACTGTACACATAGAACAGTGGTGACAGGACACTTACTAGGCATGAGATGCTGTAGTTGGGATCCACAGGAAATGTCTGTGGGTGTGGCCCGTGCAGGGGTGTGTGCAGAGGGAAGAGTGTGAGACCCATGCCAGGCTGTTGTTGGAGAGAGCAGCTGGTGACAACCCCCAGCCACTGCTTTTTCACTGGAAACTGTGGCCTCCATGGAGCCACGTGCTGTATCACCTCCCATCCCAGTGTCTTCCAGGGAGAGGGCTGTTGGGATCCTTTCTGGTCCCGTCAGCAGCATATCTACAGCTCACAGTTGTCCTCTATTTCCCAGCAACATTTTTAAATTGCTGTGTTGCTCTCCAAGTCGGCACGGCTGGGCCGTTCTGACTTCTGCTTTTCATCAGCATTGAGTTCTGGGCTTTGTGGCCAGGAAGGTCCTGCTCAGGCTGCCCAGCCCCGCCCACCCCTCCCTGTCTGGGCCCCCAGGGCCCGGGCGGCCCCGCCCCTTGCTGTGGCGACCTTCTCACCTCAAGTGTTCCCCAGCACCTGAGGCAGCCAACTTACTCCTCTTCAAGAATACCAGTCTGGCTGGTGTTCTGGGTGTAAGACCAGCAGCCAGTGAGGACATGGGGGTCTGTCTGTGACAGAAGAAGGCCCACGGGACTCTGGGAGGCTTTCCCAGAGGAAGTGCCCCCCCACACCTCATCTTGATCCTGGGCCAGCCAGTTCTCAGGAGGGACCCCAGACAAGGGCTTTACTGAGCAGCTGCTGCCGGGGGCATCCTTGGGTGGAGACCTCCCTGAATCACAGCCCTGGGTCCCTCAACCCCCACCTTGAGCATCCCAAATTGGAGATTCCCCCACTAGAAGCAGCCCTGGGGAGGCACGCTCAGACCTCACTGAGGGGTCTGGATAGAAGGTGGGCCAGGTCCTCAGGAGGCCTCCCGCTTTGTGTTTTCTGCAGAAAAGCTGAAGGTGGAACTGGGACGGGCTCCGTGGACTGGACCTCGGCAGACAATGTAAGTGAGGTGGGAACTCTTCACAGGCAAGGGGAGGCTTCTGGCCTGGGCTCCAGGTGGCCATGGGGGACAAGCCAGTACTGCGAGCTGGGGGCCACTGGGCAGGCTTGGCACTCTGGCTACCTTCAGGTCCCTGATCTGCCTCCCATGCCACAGTTCAGGAGAGCCTGCCTGCCCTTCCCACCCACATTGTGCCGGCGGCCACTTGGCATTGGTCCTCAAAGGGTCAGAGGGGAGGATGGGGACCTGGAGGCCGACGAGGCGCTCTGGACCCGTTGACGGGCATGCCCCACTTCTCCGGCAGGTGCTCGATGGGGCCTCGCTTGTGCCCAAGGGTTCATCCAAAGTCAAGAGACGAGTCCGCATCCCCAACAAGCCCAACTACAGCCTTAACCTCTGGAGCATCATGAAGAACTGCATCGGCCGGGAGCTCTCCAGGATACCCATGCCGGTGGGTGGCTTGAGGTGGGGCAGCCTCGGGGGGTCCTCTGAGGCTGCTTTCCTGTGCAGGCATGAGGAGTAAAGGCCTGTGTACAGTACACTCAGCCCTGGGCATCACCTCCTTACTGGCACCCAAGGAGCGTGTGACTGATGATCTGTGTTCCTCAGCATTGCCTGGTCCCCCAAGGAGCAGAGTGTTCAGGCTCTGAGGAGAGGAGCCAGGGAGCAGCTCTGCACCTGTCAGAGATGGGGCCGAGGAGCCCCAGAGCACCTCTGGACCTGGCAAGCCTTACCACATCCCAGCTGTCCTGATTGTGTAGACAGGGAATAGCAGGATCCGGCTGTGTGTGGAGGGGCTGGGCCCGCCTTCAGCCAGGAGCCATCCTGGTGCCATCCCCAGGAACTGGAGGCTCACCTGGGTCACACAGCAGGCTAAGGGCAAAGCTAGGATCTTGGTGCCCCCAGACTGTGGGGCATTCTCCACTGAGGAAGGGCCTGGGGCCTCCAGGACAGACGGCTTTGCCATGTGACTCAGAACGAGTCCCTTCACGTCTCCAGCCCCTTTGTCCACATCTGCAAAGAGGGGGATAATCACAGCACCCCCTTCAGTGTCTGAGAGGATGGAGTGAGATGACACAGGAAAGACAAGACAGCCTGATGGCGTCCCAAGGGAGCATGACCCTGCCCTGTGAGTGGCGAGACTGGGGCCCTGGCCTCACGCATCCTGCGCCAGCCCCTCCACAGAAAACCTGCGCCACAGCTCAGAACATGGGGAGACCCACTTCCTCACTCATAGATGCATTGCCTACTCCTTTATTCCTGGTTCCTGGGACTCAGCACTGAAGATGCAACTGTGGATGAGCCAGACCCCTTGGCCTTGAGGATGTGTGAGTCCTAGCAGGAGAGAGTGACAGTGAACATAAAGTGTATACAGCCAGGCATGGTGGCTTACACCTCCCAACACTTTGGGAGGCCAAGGCAGGAGGATTGCTTGAGGCCAAAAGTCTAAGACCAGCCTGGGCAACATAGCGAGACCCCCCCCACCATGTCTACAAAAATAATTTTTTTTAAAATTTAGCAGGTATAGTGGTGCATGCCTGTAGTCCCAGCTACTTGGGAGGCTGAGGTGGGAGGATCACCTGAGCCCAGTAGTTCAAGGCTACGGTGAGTTATGATTGCTCCACTGCACTCCAGCCTGGGTGACAGGGCAAGACCCTGTCTCTACAAATTGAATTAAAGTCAAGTAAAATAATTAAAATAGTGTATACAATGCAGCATGCCAGAGGTGGGGAGGACTAGGGAGAAAACTGAGGCAGCAGGGGCCAGGGAGATGACCTGGCGGGGCAAGGGTATTGGATAGGGTCGTCCAAGGAACCTCACTGTGAAGCTGCCATCTGAGCAGGGATGTCCCCAAGCATGCAAGAAAAGTAAAGATGCTGTGCTGAGCCAGGTGTCCAGCCTGACCACCCATCCACCCTCCTGCAGGTGAACTTCAACGAGCCCCTGTCCATGCTCCAGCGGCTGACAGAGGACCTTGAGTACCACCACCTGCTGGACAAGGCCGTGCACTGCACCAGCTCCGTGGAACAGATGTGCCTGGTGGCCGCCTTCTCCGTGTCCTCCTACTCCACCACCGTGCACCGCATCGCCAAGCCCTTCAACCCCATGCTGGGGGAGACCTTTGAGCTGGACCGCCTCGATGACATGGGCCTGCGCTCCCTCTGTGAGCAGGTGAGCTGACTGGCCTGGTGCCGAGCAATGCTCACCCACTCTCCAACCAAGGTGCTCCCACCAGGCACAGGATCAGAGAAGGACAAACGAGGTGCTCCCACCAGGCACAGGATCAGAGAAGGACAAACGGGACATGGCCTCTGACCCCAGCTGCCCATGCCCGAATGGCAGTCATGCTGAGGTCCAGCAGGACAGCAAGCCTCCTGTGGCAGGCAGGGTGTGAGAGAAGAGGCTGGTGAGGACAGAGTCAGGTCTGCTGTGCAGAAAAGTGAGGAATGTGGCTGCTGGCCAGGAAACCGTGGAGCAGGAAACCGTAGAGGGACATTTGCAGGCATTTTTGGGGTGTCTGGGTGACTGGGACATTGGAGTCACCATAGGACTGGAAGGCGGCAGCAGGGGGAGCCTGGGCCGTGCATAATGGAACAGACTCTGCCCCAGTCGGTGACAGCAGCCTCTGTCCCTTCCATCCCAGGCCTGGAGGTCCAGGGGCCTCTGTGGTAGCATCCCAACACTGGGCCCTGGGCATCCTTATCAGAAACGAGATTCTGTTGAGGTCAGTGCTGCTCTGGCTCCCAGGATGGGCACAGGAGGCTAGCCATTCACAGGACTGGGCGCTAACTGAAAGCTCTGGCTTCTGTGAGGACTCAGTAGGAGGCGGCTGCAGTGACCCAAGCAAGGGTGCAGTGGCCAGGTCCCAGGAGGGGGAGGCAGGAGCATGAGCAGGTTTTGAAGGTAGAGCCTGTGGGCTTGCTGATGCTTCAGATGTGGGGATGGGGAGCAGCTGAGGGTGCCCCAGGGTCTTTGGCCCAAACCATAGAGTGAATGCTCCATTCAGCAAATATTAGGTGCTCTTGATGTACTGGGTTCTACTCATGGTTGAGAGCACAGCTGGGATATGAACAGAAGTGGCGCCTGTTTTCATGTGTCTGGGAGTGGGGGCAGATACCGTGGATGCTTTTGGCTCTTTTAGAGAGGGTGCAGTCAGGAAGTAGCTGCCCTGATGCAGAGAGAGTGAGAAAGAAAAGGAGATGATGGTGGAAAGAAAGCAGTGGGCAACGGAGGGTCGTCCACATGGGCAGGGGGCCTGACCCAGACTTGCATGGGGATCCCTCTGCTGTGGTGGGGAGTGGGCTGCAAGGTGCAGGTGGTGGGAGGGAAGCATGTGAAGGAAGCATGGACAGGCTCTGCTGAGGATTAGTGGAGCAGCATGAGAGGAGGGCCCGAGAGGCTCTAGAGCGTGCAACTGGACAGGCAGGGCGCCAAGACAAAGTGTGAAGGGGGCAGAGCATCAGGGCCAGCCTCTGGGGTCATGTCCCTGCACTCGCCCTTAAAGTGGCTCCAGTGGATGTGTGGAGGTGATGGCTGGGCACAGGGAGAGCTCACTTGTCACCCAGGGTGGGTGGCACACTGGGCCTGCAATTCTGAGGCCCAAGAAGCCTGGGGACACCTCTACCCGGCTCAGAATGATCCTCTCTGAGGGGAGGTATCCAGGGACAGCTGGAAGCCAAGGTGAGGCCGGGGCTGGTGCCCTAGAGGGAAGGGAGCCTGAGCCCGGCAGCCAGAGGAATCCTGGAATGAGGAAGAACACACAATAGAGACCTGGTGGCACAGCCAGTGAGGAGGGAGATAGGCAGGTGTCCTGGAAGGCGAGGCCCAAGGAGGACACTGTTGTACACTCCAGCTCTGAGCCGGGCTGTCTAAGGAAGGGCTGACTCTACCCTTGGGCTAAAATGACCTCACCAGCTCAGGCCCCCTGAGTGTAACACCACCCTTTCCAGGCTGGTGGTGAGAAGTAACTGAGAAAGTGGGCACAGAAGCCCTCAGTACAGCATGGCACCTTTCACTCAACCAGTCCTCAGTGCACTCGTCACAGGCACATCCCTTGAGACACGGACTCTGCCATTGACCCCATTTCATAGCCCAAGTGCCAGGTGCCAAGACACCCAACCAGCCCTCAGTCCATGCTCACAGTGTGCTGGGCAGGCCCAGGACAGCACCCAGCTGCTTTTCCCCTTGGGTCAGTGCCCTTCCAGGGGCCTGCTTTGGGTCCATGACCACCCAAAGGAGCAGCCAGGCCCTCTCCATAACCACGGAGCTGTACTAGGGACAGGGCAAGCCATTCCGTCCTGGTGCCTGGGCCCATATCTAGCAGATGCTCACATCCTGTGGATCTGGTCTCAGGTGAGCCACCACCCACCCTCGGCTGCGCACTACGTGTTCTCCAAACACGGCTGGAGCCTCTGGCAGGAGATCACCATCGCCAGCAAGTTCCGAGGGAAATACCTCTCTATCATGCCGCTAGGTGAGCTGGGGCTCTGTGCCTTCCTGAGATAGAAAGACCTTCTGCATAAGAGGGAGGATTCTACCACCCAGAGCTGGCTTGGGGAGACCTCCCTGCAGGTGTGCTCCCTTTCCCCCAGAGAGGTTTCCAGGTCTGTGCCCTGCCCCACCCTCCCTAGCCCACAGTCAGAACAAATATTCCTTCTGGTTCTCAAGACACCGGGCCTATGGGCAGGCTGGCCAGAGCCCCACATGGGGGCCATGACCCCTGACCTCTCCTGGCCCCCAGGTGCCATCCACTTAGAGTTCCAGGCCAGCGGGAATCACTACGTGTGGAGGAAGAGCACATCAACTGTGCACAACATCATCGTGGGCAAGCTCTGGATTGACCAGGTCAGGAGTGCCCTCAGGGATGGGGTGTATGGCCCAGGGACTGGCCCCGACCACTGCCCTCTCTCACCAGTCAGGGGACATCGAGATTGTGAACCATAAGACCAATGACCGGTGCCAGCTGAAGTTCCTGCCCTACAGCTACTTCTCCAAAGAGGCAGCCCGAAAGGTAAGCAGAGCCACCTCTCAGAACCTCAGGGGGTCCAGAGCGGGGCGTGCACCCACGCTGGGCCTGCCGATGTCCACAGGTGACAGGAGTGGTGAGTGACAGCCAGGGCAAGGCCCACTATGTGCTGTCCGGCTCATGGGATGAACAGATGGAGTGCTCCAAGATTGTGCACAGCAGCCCTAGCAGCCCCAGCTCCGATGGGAAGCAGAAGACGGTGTACCAGACCCTGCCAGCCAAGCTGCTGTGGAAGAAATACCCATTGCCGTGAGTTGGGCTGGAGGGGCCCCGCCACAGGCCATAGGACGGGGCAAGGGAGAGGGAGAGGGGAGGAGGCCAGTGAGCAGTAGACAGGCAAAGGCCCACCTCTCAGCCAGACAAACACGAGGGGAGGCGGGGAGGGCTCAGTCCACACATGGGCAGAGGACAGTGTTATATGGCCAACATCCCAGCATGGAAGCCAGATGCCCAACAATAAATAAATGTGAAATTATTAGGTGGTAGCAAATACTACATAGAGACCTTAAACAAAGTGACAGGACAGGGTCCTACCCTTCACGGCAACAAGAAATAAACACAACCAAACTTGAAAAAAACTGGAAAAGTTTTTCTCAAGTATATTTGGAATGTATACAAAAATCAATCACATACTAAACCCTCAAGAAAGTCTTAGATTGGCTGGGTACAGTGACTCACACCTGTAATCCCAGCACTTTGGGAAACCGAGGCAGGAGGGTTGTGTGAGGCCAGGAGTTCGAGACCAACTTGGGCAACAGAGCAAGACCCTATCAAAAAAAAATTATATATATGTGTGTGTATGTGTATATATATGTATGTATGTGTGTATATATATAAATGTATACACATTTTAAGATGTTATCTATGTATTACTTTCAGTTTCCTATAATCAGAAGTGTCTGGACACTGATGGTAACTACTTTGAGCACCTCTTGTAATTGCAGAAGTTAAACGTGACTTATTATTTTGTATTATCGGTATATATTATTATAATTTTAATACAGTTTTTTCCTTTCATAAAATGTGTATACATGTTTTGGGCACTATATATGTATATCAGACTCAGATTTACAGAGTGTAGCATACAGACCACAATCTATGATAAAACCATTAAGTTAGAAGTTACAAACAAAATGGCAAAAAAAAAACAAAAACCCTATATCTGTCTGGAAAAATTTTAAATTGTTAAATAACACATGGACAAAATAAATTAGAATTGAAATGTTTAAATATATAGTACTGAATGATATAAAAGATATAAAAATAGGCTGGATGCTACAAAGGCAATGATTCAAAGGAAATATATTGCCTTAAATAGTTTTTAAAATGTTGATCCTTTTTCTTTTCTGAGTTTCCATTCTAAAAAATTAGAGAAAATTAAACATACAAAATCAAAGAAAAAAGAAAATAACAAGCCGGGCTTGGTGGCTCAGTCTGTAATACCATACTTTGGGAGGCTGAGGTGAGTGGATTGCCTGAGCCCGCGGGTTCAAGACCCACCTGGGCAACTTGGCGAGACCTCATCTCTACAATAAATCAAAAATTAGCCGGGTGTGGTAGCACGCGCCTGTAGTTCCAGCTACTTGGAAGGCTGAGGTGGAAGGATCGCCGGAGCCCAGTAGGTCGAGGCTGTGGTGGCCAGGTGCGGCCATTGCACTCCAGTCTGGGCAACAGAGTGAGACTCCAACTCAAAAAAAAAAAAAAAGAAATTTACAGCAAGTGTGAACAATTAAAGTAACAATGGTTTCAATTAGGAACAATTTAGCACTGGTTCTCAAAATATTGAATCCTGGCAGATAAAGAAAATTCAGAAGATGTTTAAATGATTTCAAAATAAATTTGGTCCTTTTTTTCTTTAAAAATTAGACTTCTACTTCTTTATGGATTCTGGATGAGAAGAGTATTAGTGTGAAAAATTTTAATTATTAGAATGTATTCTTTTGTGTTGTGCAGTATATAAACTTTATAAAAGAAAGTTTTGGACAGGGGGACACCCCTTATCAACAAGGGTACCTGAACAATGCATATTTGTATACCTAACCCTTAAGTGTACCCGACAATTTTAAAATAAAAAATATGGTTAAAAAAAAGAAAGAAAGAAAAGAAAATATACCTTGAGAATAAGAGACCAGGCACAATGTCTCATGCCTATAATCCCAGCACTTTGGGAGGCTGAGGCAGGAGGATCACTTGAGGCCAAGTGGGCAACACAGTGATACCCTGTCTCTACACCAAATAAAATAAAAGCATAAATCAATAAAAAAAGAAAAGGACAAAGAAATTTGATAAAGCCAAAGTTGATTATTTGAGGGGGAAAAAAACTGATCAAATAGAAAACTACTGGCAAAGTTGATCAAGATAGATAGAAATAACTATTATTAATGCAAAAGTTCTCTGAGGAAAAAACACTGACAAAATAGAAAACAACTGGCAAAGCTGATCAAAATAGAAATAAATATTATCAATGAAAAAGGTTTAATATCAGCCTGAGCAACATAGCAAGACCCTATCGCTACAAAAAAAAAGTAAGAAATAAATTGCTGGGCATGGTTGCACACACCTGTAGTCCCAGCTACTCAGGAGGCTGAGGTCGAAGTAATTGCTTTAGCCCAGGAGTTCAAGGCTGGAGTGAGCTATGAACACACCATGACGCTGCACTTCAGCCTGGGCAACAGAGCAAGATCCTGTCTAAAAAACAAAAAAAGGCTTAACATGATACAGAAAGTATAAAGACATAATCAAAACAGCTGGGAAGGACAAATTCTTAGAAAAAATGGAACTTAAAAGAATTAACTCTGGAAGAAATCAAAAGCATGAATAATGCTATAATAATTAAAGAAATTGAAGGAACAGTTTAAAAATTATCACAAAGAAAACTCAAAGCCCAGATAATTTTACAAGTGAATTCTACCAAATTTTCAAGAAATATATTATTCCAAGTTTATATAAAGTCTTCCAGACTATAGAAAAAGAGGAAATATTCTCTTCTCCCATACTGTGAGACCAGGATAACCCTCATACCAAAACCAGGCTAAGATAATAATGGGAAAATAAAAGTTCTACTCTGTTTCAATGATAAATATACAGTTAAATATCCGGAACAAGACAACAAAGTCCAACCCAACAGTACATAAAAAAGATAACACCAGGACAGGTGTGGTGGCTCCCACCTGTAATCCCAGTACTTTGGGAGTCTAAGGCAGGAGGATCATTTGAGGCCAGGAATTCAAGACGACCTGTCTCGAAACTGTGTCTACCAAAAAAAATTTTTTTAATTAGCCAGACGTGATGAAGGTCTATAGTCCTAGCCATTTGGGAGGCTATGGTAGGAGGATCACTTAAGTCAGCCCAAGAGTTTGTGGCTATAGTGAACTATAATTATGCCACTGCACTCCAGCCTGGGCAACAGTCAGACTCTGTCTCTAAACAAACAAACAAACAAAAAATTGTAATACTGTAATCATGTTGTTGAATCCATCCCGGATATACAAGAATAATATTAGAAAACCCATAAAGTAATTAATCATATTAACTGATTTCAGCTGATTCAGGAAAAGCATTTTAGGTGCCCAGGTATAAGATTAATATGCAAAAGTCAGTTGCATTTCTAGATACTAATGGCACACAAAGAGAAAAATGCAATTTAAGATATGACACCAATTATCAAAGAACATCAAGGACCTTGTAAATCATATAATAATCCAAGACCTCCATGTCAAAGAAGAGCTAAATGAGAAAGATACACTGTTCATGGATGGAAAATATTGTAAAGATGTCATGATCTAAAAAGTCAGTAAATCAAACAAAACCCCAATAGAGATTTTCATGGAACTTGAAATTAGAATTTTAAATTTATATTGAAAAATACAGAGCTAGGACATTTCTGAAGAAGACCAAAGAAAAAGGGACTTGCCATACTAGATAACATGACTTACTTTGAAACAGTAGTGTTATGGAATAATGAGCCTAGAAATAAACCCTGGATGTATGTATCTCTGATATATGACAAACAGTGGCATGTCAGATCATGTGGAAAGAGAAACTCTTCACTAAATGGATCTGCCGGAAAATGGTTATCCCTGTGGAAAAAGATGAACTGAATATCTCCCTTACATTATAACAAAAATCAACTCCAGATAAAGACCTTACAGTAAAGTTTTAACTATGACTTATTAATAAATAAGTTAATAACTCAGTAAAAAATATAGGTGAATATCTTTTAGACTTTGAAATATTGTTAAGCAAGGCACAAAAAAGCACTGATGCATTGAATATATTAAATACCCAAATATATTGAATAAGTAACTGTGGTATAATCACATGAGGGACAATTATACAGTAGTTAAAACAAATGAACCCTACCAACATGAAACAATACAGATAAATCTTAACAACAGAACATTAAGTTAAAAAAAAACCAAGTCCCAGAAGGTTACATACATCATGATATTCTTTTTAAACAGTTAAAAATGATATGTAAAATATATGTATATGAATGTATACACAGAGAGACTTAAGAATACTTAAAGATGCAATAAAGGGCCATTGTTTTGTTAAGCACTTGCCGGGCCATGTGTTCTTTGAGCTATGGCCACCATGTTTTCTTAGCTTTGGCCCCCCTTCCCTTCCCTGGGGAGGTGAATGTCTTCTCCCCCCCCCACCACCATTCACCATTGCTTTGCTAAGCTGTTGGTCTGGCCACAAGTCTCCTTGAGCTATGGCCACCATGTTTCCTAGCTTTGTCCCCCTTCCCTACCTGGGAGAGGTGAATCGTCTCTCTCTAATTTACTTTCTAAATAAACTGTATTACAAAAAAAAAAAAAGGCTGGGCGCGGTGGCTGGGCGCGGAGGCAAGAGGATTGCCTCAGCCTAGGGGTTCGAAACCAGCCTGGGCAACTTGGTGAGACCTCATCTCTACAATAAATCACAAAAACTAGCTGGGTGTGGTGGCGCATGCCTGTTAGTTCCAGCTACCTGGAAGGCTGAGGAGGAAGGATCGCCTAAGCCCAGCAGGCCGAGGCTGCAGTGGCCGTGAGCATGCCACTGCACTCCAGCCTGGGCAACAGAGTGAGACTCCAACTCAAAAAACAAAAAAAAAAGCAATGAAAAATAAGTCCATGGAAATACTAACCAAACAAAAGCTGCTATGGTAATATTCATATCACGAAGCAGACTTAATTTTTTTTAATTTATTTTATATACTTTTTATTTTGTAGAGGCAGGGTCTTGCTATGTTGCCCAGACTGGTCTTGC